CTTTCTTTCTTGTCTCCTTCTTGGGTTTCATTTTTTCCTTTTTCCTTTTTTATTTCTGATGCTTTTCTTTAACCCTCTTTCCCCGATTTTCGAGTTATTGCTCTTTGTTTTATTGTGTGGCTTTCATATTCTTTTTTTTTAGACAGAAGTATCACAAAGCATATTCACCACGTACACACAATTACACACACACACACACACACACACACACACACTCATACACACACACACACACATACACACACACAAACAAACAAACAAACAAACAAAACATACTAACAGAAATAATATACACGAAAAGAGAAAAGTAAAATAAAATAAAACTAATAAAAGTATCACCAATGTGCACAAACTGTGTCGGTCGTGTAAACTCTCTCATCAACATAATCCAGCACAGTTGGCTCGAGAATGCAGTTCCTGTTGTGACGTCCCGGGAAATGATTACGTAGAGTTGTGTAGTAGTTTAATGCGATTGTGACTGAAGGGGGAAGGGAGGTGGAGAGAGAGAGAGGGGGGGGGAGAGGGAGAAGGGAATTTGTAGAGAAAGGGAGACAACGAGAAGGGAGGTGGATAGAGAGGGAGAGAACGAGAAAGGAATTGGAGAGAAAGGGAGAGGACGAGGAGAAAGGCGATGAAGAGAGAGAGAGGAAACGAGGGCGGTGGAGAAAAATGGGAGAACGAGAATGGAATTAGAGAAAAGGAAGGGGAAAGAACGAATAGAAGAGAGAAAAGAAGAAACAAAGAGGGAAGGGAGAAATTGGCTTCGGTGGAAGAGGAGGAGGAGGAGACAGTGGTGGAAAAGGAAGAGGAGATGATAGAGGGGGGGGGGGGGCAGAATGAGGGGCTGGTGGTGGAAGAACAAGAAATGAACAATGGAACAGAAAAGAAAATTACGTCGACGAGGAAAATGAGACATCAGAGAGGGAGAGAGAAAGACAGACAGAGAGAAAGAGAAAGAGAGACAGAGACAGTGGGACATATAGATTGATAGAGAGAAAGAGAAAGAGAGACAGAGACAGAGGGACATATAGATTGATAGAGAGAAAGAGAAAGAGAGACAGAGACAGAGGGACATATAGATTGATAGAGAGAAAGAGAAAGAGAGAATGAATGAGAGATTTTTTTTCCCAGGGCCCAGGGTGCTAGTTCCATGCATACAAATCCCAGTATTTATAAATAGTGTGGATGAAGCATAGCTCGTGTGTGTTCCCTCTCCCTCTCGCTCAGCCAGACGGGGGAAAGTGATTTAATTAAAACGTTCTATTTCTATGTGAACGCATGTTTGTACATATGTGCATCCATGTACATGCCGGTATACTGTATGACGGTGGGTTTAGGTAAGTCCATTTCAGCAAGGTTGGATGTGACCGGGCGTTTGTTCATTATTTTTTTTATACATCTGTTTATCTTTTTTTTGTCTGCATATGATTGTTTATTTGGTTGGTTTGCTGTTCAAAAAACAAAAAACAAAAAAAACATTGTGCCTGTGTGCTTGTTCCTCTGTTTCTATTATCTGTTATTTCTCCCTCTCTTTCTCTGTCTGATTGTCTCATTCTCTCTCTCTCTCTCTCTCTCTCTCTCTCTCTCTCTCTCTCTCTCTCTCTCTCTCTCTCTCTCTCTCTCTCTGTGTCTATCTTTCTCATTCTCTCTCTCTCTCTCTCTCTCTCTCTCTCTCTCTCTCTCTCTCTCTCTCTCTCTCTCTCTCTCTCTCTCTCTCTCTCTCTCTCTCTCTCTCTTTCTTTAAATATTCAGCACACAGAAAGAAAAAGTGTTTTGCATTCTGCACTTTTGCTCTTTTTCACAGGTAATCATTCAGACTGTCCCCATTAAGAGCACAGTAACTGTATTTTCTCCACAGAAAAAAAATGTATTTTATACTGTATATGGCCGTGAGTTCTTGTAACACTGTTTATTTCTTCTCTCCCTCTTCCCCACGTCCTTTCATCTTCCTTATACCATCACCTTTTCCCCTTTTCTTCTTTCTTTCTCTCTTTTCACCTCTCTTTTATCTCCCACTTCTCTTCTCTCCTTCTTATTTCTCTCTGATCCTCCACCTCCCCTCCTCTCTCTCTCTCTCTCTCTCCCGTCTCCCACCTTCCACCTCCACCCACCCTCCATCTTCCCCTTCCCTCCCTCCCTCCTTCCTCGCTTTCTCCTCCCTCCATCCTCGCTTTCTCCTCCCTCCTTCTCCCATCTCCCCCCTCTCCTTCCCACCTCCACCCTCCCTCCCACCCTCTCTCATTTCCCCTCCCTCTCACCCTCTCACCCTCTCCCTCCCTCCCACCTCTCCCTCCCTCCCACCCTCTCCCCCCCTCTCCCACCTCTCCCTCCCTCTCACCCTCCCACCTCTCCCTCCCTCCTACCCTCCCCCTCCCCCCCTCCAGGTGGATCTCCGGCACGTGGACGAGGTTCAGGGGACGAACGTGGTGACGCTGGGTGTGGACCTCTCCGAATTCTACATGTCAGTGGAGTGGGACATTCTGGAGGTTCCTGCGGTGAG